CCGCACGATGGTTCGGAGGGGTGTGAGTCTGCAGGGACTCTGTTACCACCGGTGGCTGTCCCTGAGCGTCTACCGTAGCGCACTCCCGGGATGGGCGGTGGCTAGGTGCCACATCGCCGATGCTAGAGCCGTCACTCTCAACATCATCATCCATGAGGTCGAGGAAATAGGTGGGAGCATAGCTTGCCATCCCCATGAATTCAGACATGAGAGGGGGCGGCACCGGCATCCTTCGGAGCCCCCGAGTGTATGCGTCCACAGGAGACGCGAAGCCATAGGGGAACCGGTCGCATGGCGGTCGTGGCGGGGACAATGGGGTCCCTCTGGATAATCGGCGGAAGATATAGAATAGTAAGTAAATAACAACATGTACATTACTTACAGCGGGGTTTGAGCAGAGAGTTTGCTCGGAATGAAGCACAGATGCCTCGTTGTTGAAGTCGTCGTGCGTCCTAGAGCCGATGGAGGGTGCCCCTCTGATGGGTGCCAGAACGAGTGCCTCCTTGCGGAGGTGTAGTACACCGAGCCAGTCGGCGATGAAGTCTAGGCTTCTGAAGAGGAAGGCCTGGGACGGCTCGAAGACAGGTCGAACCCACATCCCAACAGGTGGGAGTGCGGGAAACTCCAGCGAGCCAAAGCAAATCATATCGCCTGAGCCCGCCATGGCGAAGGTGGCAGAAAAGTGGGCCATCCGATGACCAAAAAGTGTTGAACGTACAACGTCTTCCCCACGGACGGCGCCAACTGTCGGTGCAGAAAGTGACCAACAAGTAAATATTTGTAGTTTTGCCGTACGTTGTGATCGGAGGTGGCCTAGCACTCAATGACATAGGGTTTATACTGGTTCAGGCAACGTGCCCTACGTCCAGTTTAAGTCGGTCGGTGACTTTATTCCTGAGCCTAGGTGCTCGAAGTTTGCAGTGGGGTTACAAACGAGAAGGAGAAAGATAGGGGGTACAAGAGGTCCAGTCGGACTCTGGTTAGAGGGACCAACAACGACGGGAGCCCTGCTACGAGCTAAGTGTTCGAGCGTATGCTCGTGATTTGAACCTGGCGGTTTAGTGGTTGTGAACTAGTGAAATTGATCGATCTAATGAATCTGGAATGACTTGAATATTGGGAGAGAGCGCATCCCCTTTTATAGATGAAGGGGATGGCCTTACAAGTGAGAGGGAGAGAGTATGTATGCTTCTAAGCCTTGTTACGCACGCCGACGGGTACTGGATGATAGTAGGCGCCCACAACACTGTTGGATGTCAGATGCACGTGGGAGGTTGCGTCGTCTTGTTCGGGTATGGTAGATGTCGGTACCTGCTATATTGTTGATGCCCAGAGGCATGTGAGGAGTTTTACCACGTTCACTCGATATGGTAAATGCCGGCGCCTACAACACTATCGATGTCCAGAGGCATGTGGGGGGAGCCTTACAATATGGGAGTTAACGGCGCCCACAATACTATAGGGAAAATGTCAGCACCTACAACACTGTTTGGGCTCTGTTCTGCCAGGGAGCCTACAGAGTACTGTTTCTGCAGGTGTATAGGGTACGGTCTCTGGTATCATGGTTTGACTTGTGTGCCCTGCCTTACTTTTTTTGTCTGTTTCCTGGCCCTTATCGAGCGGGCGTCCCCAGTCGGTTGGTCCCAGTCGGCTTTGATTGCGCTAGTCGGAGAAGAGCAGTGAGCAGGGTTTTGGCGCATCCCCGCATGGAGACACGGGTCGGAGTCGGAAGTAGTGCTTTGGTCAGGCCTTCTGGTCGGAGAGGCCGTCTGGAGGTGGGCTGGAGAACGAAGTGAGCGCTCCGGTCGGAGAGGCGGGTCGATGTAGGAAAACTGGCGCTGTTCGTCCTCAACCTGGCCTTTCGGTCGGTGGTTGGATCGCTTTTCTGGCATATCGTTTAGGCACTTGGGCTGGCCCATGAGTTATGCCTTGTTTGCGATGCTGCCTGCTGGGCCGAGCCTTTGTTGGGAAGCCGGTACCCGAGGGACCCCGGGTTTATGAACCCGACACTTCGTCTTCGCGCGTGGCGGCAGCACATGCACGGCGGCCTGAGGGCGGCGGGGCGAGGCTAGAGGACGGCTGGCGCGGCCGGCCCGGGTAGGCCAGACGTCGGCGGCCGTTCAGGATCCGGCGGCGGCGAGTCAAAGTCCTCCTTGGGCGGCGCATCGAGGAAGGGATTGGGCGGGCGGCGGTGTGCAGATGAAACGACAGAAAATACACGTATTTGGAATAAAAAATGAAATACACCGAATGGCAAGGAAATCAAAAGTGTAGACCCATTTTTTCGAAGCGCATTGTTTGGAGTCCTAAATATGCAATTTTTTCATTATTGTTTTGTAATTCGTAATATCTTTTCATTTTTCTTAGTATGTTTGGCACTATGAACTGAATTGTCTGTCCTGTTCTCTGCCATTGTAGAAGGGGAAGAAACGTGGAAGGAAATATAAAGTAAGTCGTGAGGCAACTTCTGAAGGTGCTTCTGCAGAGAAGGTAATAATTTCTGGAGTTTATGTATAGACTGAGTTGTCTATTTTGGTATCAATAAATAGATTTCCAAAATGCTATTTTTGGTCAATCATATAGAGCTGATTGAATTGGTTGTTTATGTGTCAAATAGCTGTTTCAAATGACTATTTCAATAACCAGATATGACCGCTTAGATTGGCTATAGATTCTCATGAACTAGTCTAAGTATCTAATATTTTGGTGTGTTACCATTGATTATTAGTGTTTTTCATGGTTCTAAAAAGTTCTAAAATGTTCATAAAATCTATAACTTTTGTGAACAATTTGCTATAATTTTATCTGAGATTTGGACCGCATAGAAAACATTTGCAATTTTTGTTTGTGTAAAATGTGGTAATTGTGGTGTGCCTTTTCCAATCCATAGAATTTTTTTTGAGAAATGTATGGCATGTTTTCTGAGATCTGTATTCCATAGAAATGTTTTTTGTCCTGAAGAATCTGGCATATGTGATCTGATATTTGCATTGCTCTGTAGTGTCCTAGTGTAGGATTACATTAGTTTTTGGTCAGCTCTTGCTGTGCATTCTAGTGTCTGTGCGAGTATTGTAATAGTACCTTTGAAGATGTAATCTTTTCAATCCACAGTTTCTATTCAATTGGTTTTGTTTCATTTGCTTTTCTTCCTTTGAGGTGTAGGTTGCACTCTTAGTTCTGCTGTTTAAAATTGGCAGTCGCACCTGGTTTCTGTGGCTGTTACATTTTCTCATCGTTTTCTTGCCCGTGATGCTTTGCACTGCTGAGAGGCAGTTCCATCAGGCTACAAGGTTCGCTCCTTTTGCTTCCTTTGCTTTGCACTGCTGTGTTTGGGGATGGATGCAACTGGTTCTATGGTTGGAGCAGGGATTTGGTACTGATCTGGAGTTTCAATTTTGTAAGATGAGCTATTTTGGTTGATCTACTTGTTGCCCTTGGTAGATTTTTTGGTTTAGGATCCTTGTCAGATTACATGGGTATTACTTGATGACCTGCAGGTACTTATAAGGTTGATGAGTTACCTTGGCATTAGTTGTAGGTTGTTTCTGAGTTCTCTAGTCACAGCTTTGGTCTTTGAAGAAATTTCAATTCTATCTGTTATCTTGTACCTGTTTTTCAGTTTGTGAGTTGAAGCATTTGGCTGTTTTTAGGCAGGCCAGTAATTCATGTTCTGAGCAACTGGTCTTACCCTTTAGCATTTCTTCAGAAACAACGATTGAGCTCTTAGCAAGTTGATGTTCTATTATTTTTTCAGTTTGTAAGTTGATAGTTTCAAAGTTGGACTTGTGCAGTGCTCTGCTTGTGTGCTCTTTTGTTGCTTCTTCTTCCTTTCTGTTTTCATGTTGCAGTTCTGTTAAGCTACGTTTCTATAGTCGTTGGCTATGCAGAGGGGTCATGTCATTTTACTGTTGTTACTTCTTTCTTTCTGTTCTCGTGTTGCCATTCTGTTAGATGCCTTCTAGAAGAGCATCTGCAACAGGTAGAGGTCGGCGTGCTCCGGCTGAGCCTGCGGCTCAGGCATCCGCTGTGCCTGCCCTTGCGCCTTTGGTGCTGTACGGTCTCACGCATCGCGTGCCCGCCGTCGCCGAGCCACTAGCGTTGTTCGTGTTGCGGCGGAGTTTGGTCACCTCACAGGTATGGCTTTTCCTTATAGCAGCACCTGCTGTTTTTCTCTGTTGCTATCACTTGGCCTACGCAGACCTCATTGCCGGTGTTGTTTCTCAGTTGATTACAGTTCCTATATCGTGCACGGGGTAGAAATGCTTAGGTTTTAAAGTTCGGTATGCCATTTGGGTTTCTTGCTTAGTGTCTGCGATTGGAACCTCTCTATGGCAGGTGTTACTTCCCCAGGAGTTAGAAGCATTTGGCTGTTTTTAGGCAGGCCAGTAGTTCATGGTTATATGGTTGCTCTGAGCAACTAGTCTTACCCTTTAGCATTTCTTCAAAAACAGCGATTGAGCTCTTAGGAAGTTGATGATCTATCATTTTTCAGTTTGTAAGTCGATAGTTTCAGAGTTAAGACTTGTGCAGTGCTCTGCTTGTGTGCTCTTTGTTCTACCTGTGCTCATGGATGTGTGTTAGGGTGTTAGTGAGGTCATCACTCAATTGGGCAGGGTCACTTATATGTTAATATTACTAGTTTTACAGGAGACTGTAATTTTTTCCAATTTAAGTGTAATTTTAGTATTTTGTTAGTATAAGTATTTTAGTGGTATTTAATATATGTTTTTTTATTATCTGTCAGTATGACTATTGGTGTGAGTGTTAGCATATGTCGGATAGTGCATGTCAACATTTGTTGATTTCGTGTTGGTGTATATTATGTGTCACCATCAGATTACGATCTGAGGTTCTGTATTTCATGTGTTTTTTGATTCTCTAACACTAGATTTGCTAGTTGAAAAAAATCGGGTGATTTAAGGTCCCGGCCCTCGGCATCGGCAGTCGGCACAGCACAGGACAACCCCGCAAAAAAAAAGATGGTGTCCCGGCGGTGCTTCTCATGGGCCGACGACGGCCGGCAGCTCCACCCGCGCCCTCTTGTTGCTGTCCGCCGCGGCCGCCAACGAGGAGGCCGCGTCGACGGACTCGTACGTCGTCGAGCCGGAGCTGGGTGGCGGCGGTGTCTTGGCCGCCTGCTTGCTCGGCGTCGCCGACGAGCTCTCGCCCAGCATCGTGCTGTAGCAGGCGTGCACGTCGCCCTGGTTGATCACCGGGAGAAATTGCATGCACAGATGATGTGAGGTTTCATGAGTTCAGACGTATCGGAAACAGAGCGATGGCGCGAGGAGCAACTGCACTGACCTTGTCGAGCAGGCAGGACGGAGAGAGGCTGCTCATCTTGGACTCCAGCGCCTCCTTCTCCATGGGGCCGTGGGCCGCGGCCAGGACGGCGGCGACGGCCACGGTGGACGGCCGGTAGTCGAGCACGCTGGCAGCTGCAAGAACAGAGCACGGACACGGACGCGTTCAGATTCCCAGGCAAAGCTCATGCAATGGTTGGCAGCGATTGGCTAACCTTCCGCGGCGGAGAAGATAAGGGCGGCGGCCTTGGCGGCGACGAGGCCGCCACCGCCGCTACCGTCGCCTCGGCGTAGCCTGGAGGAGAGGCAGGGGAGGTAGTCCAGGGGCGTGACGTCGCCCATGAGCCACCCCAGCGTGGACAGCACCAGCAGCTCCATGCGCCGGATGGAGACGCTGCTGAAGTCGTACTCGTCGTCGGCGCGGAACTCGGACAGCGCCGGCGCGCGGTACTCCTCCATCTTGGCCGCCAGGGACACGCACGCCACCGCCAGCAGCCGCGCCGCCCAGGGCATCACTGACCTCTGCACGCACACCGTACCGCCGCGTCAGTTAATCGGCGGCGTCGTCAGTGAAATCGATCATCGATGGGGTGGATGGATGGATGGACGACGCACGTCCATGCACTGGTGGAGGCAGAAGCGGTCCATGTAGGAGACGGCAAGGTACGCCGTGCGGTGGGAGAAGCCGAAGTAAGCCCGCGTCTGCAAATGGCGCCGGCGGTGGTCAGAGGAATGGAAGATTGTAAAAGATGGATGCTTGTGCTGAATCGATCGATCGGTCGATCACCTCAAAAATCCACTCGACGGTGGCGCGGCGCGCGCAACGGAACCACTCGTCGGACGAGGCCGTGGACGAAGGGCACGTCTCGTCGCCGACGATGTCGGAGAAGACGGGCGAGGACGAGGACGAGGACGAGGGCGAGGAGGAGGAAGGGGAGCAGCAGAAGCTGCTCTCCTTGGACACGAGGTGGTCCATGTACTCCTCCTGGTCCTCCTCCCCGGCGTCGCTGTAAAGAAAGGTGGCCAGCCTGCCGGCGTCATCGGCGCTCTCCGCGGAGCCGCCGGCGGTGTCGAGGTCGGCGCCGTCCTCCAGGCACATGAGGGAGAAGGAGCAGCCGGCCGAGCAGCCCTCCTGTGCTTCCCCCATAATGGCTGTCAGGCTGATCGACCCGCTGTTTCTGCCACCTGTCCTTTCTTGGTACGCTGGAAGCTGGAGGTGGATCGGACCGGAGGAACCTGCTAAAGAGCCATCAGTATATGTTTCGGCCGCCGGAGCTGGCTGGCCGTGGAAGTGCACTAGTGCAGGAGGAGGCGGTGGAAGACGAGCGATCAGCGAGGTGGCTGGTGGTGCTTTAAAGTGGCGCGCTCTCTGTCTCTCTCGCTCCCCCTCTCACGGTCGAGAAAATTGCATTTTTTTTCGACTAGAAAATTGTATATTTGGCGCTCCAAACAATGCATTTCGCATACGTGGGACTTGACTCCGTAAAAATGGTCTCCAAACGCTGCACACTTGATTTACTTGCCATTATGCGTATTGTATCTCTTTTTTAATCTGTGTACATGTATTTGGCTGGAGCTCCTCGAGCGTTGCGGGGCAGCGCAGTGGAGCGCGGAGAGCCCCGCGATGTGCTGGAGATGGAGGCGTCGCAGGCGCGGGCAGCAGGACGCCAACAGCAGGCGGCCAAGGTTGCGCTCGTCGTCGGTGCCGTTTGGCTCGTTCCGCGCGTGGATGAGTAGGAGGTCGCTGAGCGCGGCAAAGGCGCCGGCGCCAGCGCCAGCGGCCGGAACGGCGAGGCTCGCGTTGCCCAAGGAGAGGCTCATCGTCTCGGCTCTCGCCGAGGTCGGCATCGCGGCAGATAAGAACGACTTCTTACGCTCAGGCACAGGCACAGGCACCCCCGCCGCTGTCTTCGTCTTCGCGTGTCGCGGCAGCACATGCACGGCGGCCTGAGGGCGGCGGGGCGAGGCCAGAGGACGGCTGGCGCGGCCGGCCCGGGTACATCCGGCGGCGGCGAGTCGAAGTCCTCCATGGGCAGCGCGCCGAGGAAGGGATCGGGCGGGCGGCGGCGTGCAGACGAAACGACGGAAAATACACGTATTTGGAATAAAAAAGAGATGAAATACACCGAATGGCAAGGAAATCAAAAGTGGAGACCCATTTTTGCGAAGTGTATTGTTTGAGTCTCAAATATATAATTTTCTGCTCACAGTCTCACTCACACAGACACAGAGAGTGAGATTCTCTCATTTCACTCGACTGCTAATCACTCTACTATACTAGGAGTTACTGTAGTGTACTTGGTTATTGTTTTTCTGAATGACCTCGGCGTGCTGTTGGTCAAGCTCAAGCAAAGATACCCCTTGGTTACGCTTCGACTGAATTCATGATGTCGTGAGGTGAGAGGCAGGGCAGGGGCAGGCGCCCATGGGGCTCGAAGTTCCGAGCTCCAATCACCGGGCGGTGCCAGCCAGGTCCATGTCCGCCTCTGCACTTCTCTGACTTGGAGGAGGTAACTACTCGAAATCCAATGATGTGCAGGTCTCAGAACCACACGGATCGACATCTCGCGCCCTGTTCGCTTAGCCTGTAAGCGTACTTTCTCGAAGCTAACGAACAATATTTTTTTTCATAACAAATTAATCAATAATATTTTTAGTCATGATTTTTCAGCCAAGCGAACAGGGCATTGGTCTTGTGTTGGAGGTAAACTAGTCCTCCTGTTTGCACGTAGTTACGGACTTAGAGGGTGTTTGGTTCTTTAGTCGCTCCTAAAATTCATGTCACATCGAATGTTTAGATACTAATAAAGAACATTAATATAGATTAATTACAAAACCAATTACATAGATGGAGGCTAATTTGTGAGATGATTTTTTAAGCCTAATTAATCTATCATTAGCACATGTTACTGTAGCACCGCGTTGTCAAATCATGGACTAATTAGGCTCAAAAGATTCGTCTCGCAAATTAGTCGTAAATTGTGTAATTAGTTTCGTAATTAGTCTATATTTAATGCTCCGTGTATGTGTCTAAACATTTGACGTGACAGAAATTTTAGGAGCGTAGGTAGAAACCAAACATAGCCTTACTGTATTGGATAGTACTTTACCAAATCAGATCAAATCAAATGGGAGATCTATGGTGACTCGCAACTTCTGTATCCATCATCTAAGATAATGAAAGTAGCTAGTTCAATCGTGAATCTAGTAACGCCAACCGTCAGCTTGTTCGGGAAGCCATATCGTATCGTGGATTATTTACTGCTGGCTGGTTTGATGTGAGAGAAAAACACTATTCCTGACTAGAAATTTACGATCGTTTACGAGCAAACGAACAGGCTGCGTATATGCAGATTTGACCGAACGTAATAATCTTAAAATGGCCTACATTTTGAATTGGAGGGAGTACTTTCTAGCTAGTTTGAATATCCGTTTCAACCCTTAAAACTCTCCAAAGCACGCGCCATCTTCCATATTTTGGCTTGCTGATGACATGCAAGCCTGCAGGCACATGTCTAAAAATTGTTGGTCCTGACACCTATACATGCCCAAATAATGTTGTTGAAAGGAAAATGTCACTTGTCTTATTTTTTAATCAAAACTAAATTGCTTTCCTATGCATTCCCGACTCTCTTTGTTGTTTATTTCTTGTCCCTCCTTGCTCGCCCATGCAACCAGTGGCGGATCTAGGATGAAAATCTAGGGGGGCTTAAGTTCACACGGGAACAAAGGCATCAAGCTCAGTTCAACGCTCCAGCATCGTCTTCAACCTCAGCTCAACGCTGAAGCTCCTCATTTCCTCCCCCCCCCCTGCAGATCCGCCGCTGCATGCAACCTAAACTTGGTTACCACCTAAAAAAAACTATCATTGCAGGTGCCAGATCTCATGTTCATTGTCCTATATACCCTTGTTCTGCTTTTTCCTTATTACATGCTGTCAAGTAGGCATTCCTTATTTTAACCACTAGGGTCTTCTAACCCCTCTTGTTCCTTAAGAAAACATAGGCCTTCTTGCTAGGGGATATGCATCACAACTAGCTAGGTTGGCACAATGATATAGCTTTAATGCTGTATGCTCAATTTCATTCACCAAATGAACCGAAAGAATAAGGCAGGCGAAGGTGGAAAAGGATGCTAAAGATGAAGCTTGGGATATCTTCAGATTCAGTGGATGTTTTTGTTGTCACCGTGGAATTGTTTGTTAACTGAAGTCGGTGAACAATGTTCCATGAGATATTCTATTTTGGCCATGAGAACTAATAAAGCTTTTGGTTACTTCCATATGGATAGTGCGAAGTTGTGCATTTTGTATACAATTGGGAGTTATAAATAGGCCCAGTTCCATTAGTTTACATGTTGTTTTGGTAGCATGCAAATTAACTATGAGCTGTATAAAGGTATTCATTCATAGAGTATCTTATCTCCTACAACTAAAAAGAACAAAGCGTGAATATTTTTTGGTGCGACATTTGTTTTGGTTGGTCTGTCTGCCCACGCCCGTGCGATACCTCACTCGCTTCGTCGCTCTGCCTTCACCCGTGCGAAAAAAAATTCTGCCTCATCGCTCGCGTAAGTCACGCCTCCAATCGCTCTCTCCCCCTCGCGAGATCCCTCTCCACCGTGCGGTCGTGCCCCTCGCCGTGCGCATCGGCCACCGCATCGGTGCGAGCAGGCCTGGACCAGGCGCGACGGATGACGTGGCTGAGGCGGAGAAGGTCGTCGGGGACCGCCAGTTTCTCAGGCGCTCGCCGGGGCGCGGTGCAGCCAGGCCGGATCCGGTCGGCACTCGATCGGAGACAGCATAGCTGAGGCGGAGAAGGTCGGCTAGGAAGGAAAGAAGCGTCGCGGATGAGGCGGCGGCGGGCATAGGCGACGGCGACCCCGCGGGCGGGCGTGCCGGCTCGAGCGGCCCCCTCCCTCATCCCCACGCGGACGGGTCCCGCACTAGATCCGCCGCCGTCGGTGCCCATCCTGAAGGTCCACGCCGCCACCCGCACCACCCCGACGCCCACGGCTGCGGCCACTGATGCACCGTGGCTCGCACCCGCGCTGGAGGCGGAGGTGACCCTCGACACCGTACCTGCGGCCGCCACTCCCCGCCTCCACTTCGGCCCCCGCAGGCAGCAGCACATCCGCTTCCCCTCCCTCCGCCTCCTACGCGTCCGCACGATCTGGCGGGCGGGGACACGCCAACGAAACGGGTGGCTTAGGTCAATGAAGCGACCGGGTACACCAGCGCGGTGCGCCCCCTTCACCTCCCACCGCCCCCGGCTCCCCTCCGCGTCTCTCGTTTCCTGGCACGCGGCCGGCCGGCTTTAGCATCCCCGGACGGCTGCAGGAGGGAGGTTTTCACTTATCCGCATCTGGGCGGGAGCAGCGGCAGCGGCTCGCATCTTGGTGAAGTCTGTCTGTGGCACATGCATCAGCGCGGCGGCGGAGGCTCGCGCATCAAGGGTGGCATCGGCGTCGCGTGCGCATCAGGGCCGCGGCTGCTGCTGCTCTGCTTTACATCCGAGTGGCGGCAGCGGCTGCTACTCCTTCTCGGGCGGTCGGCTCGCTCCAACCTCCAAGCTCAAGTGGTCCAGGTGAGTAAGCAGCACCGATCGGTCCTAGCTTCAGCTACACGGTCCACGCATCTACCTCGACATCTCAACCTCATCCCCTTCCCGTGCTGTTGCTGGTCTGCTCCACAGTCCGCACTGCTTAACTGAAGTAGAATATCTTCTTTTTTAGAGTAAGCATATTGTTCCTAGATTTCATTTTTCTTTTAAAAATGGTGTTGTGCTCGGTTACACTGAACCTGCAGAAGCTAACAGACATGAAGAAGATGTGTCCAGTTGTTCAGAACTTCAGATGCATCAATTGTCACATATAAGAAACTCATAGTAACCTGTAGGCTAGCAACTACTAACCTGAAGCTAAACATGACTGTGATCCATTTCACTAATTATTGAGTGCCTCATTATCACTTCTATTTTGTTCACGTGTAGCTGTTTGGTACTTTGCCCGTCCATTGCAATGGGAACAAAAAAAGATATAACCATGATAATTAAAGTTTGAATGTACGTTGTACCATTACCAAAACAACGATGTTAAGAGTGTGGTTCATAATGACAAAAACTATATAACCATGCCTGGTATTTGGTT